TGCGGGCTGAAGGGTCGGGCACCAGCTCCCGGCAGCACCGGGCGAGAAGCGGCTAGGATGGGAAAGCGGCAGTGAGGGTCTCGGCAGCGGCACCCCGCACCCGTAGGCTCGTAATCAAAGGGGGGGAGGGTGTCTCGCCCTCCGCACAGGCGACGGCTCCGGAGGGGAGACGGGGAAGTAAGGGAGGAGGAGGGATGGGATGCAAATGCCAGGTTATCCCAAGGGGCGGCCGGGAGAGGAGCGGGTGTCAGCTCAGCTCGGTGCTCTGCGGGGAAATAGCAGCCGGGGCCGGTTTCGGGGCACAGCCCCGTGGGTACCGCCGCGGGGCTGCGTACAGATTTGTCCCCGCGGCATGAAGCGCGCGGCGTGGGGGCTTTTGCGAGAGAAAAAAAAGAGCGATGGCCCCTCTCATCACTGCGCGAAACAGTTGCTTAAAACCTGAGCGTGGTCCCCAGCCCGGTCCGCGCCCCTTTCCGCACACCCCGCCCGCCGGCGGGGCTGCGCGGCCGCGCAAAAGCGCGCAGGGTCGGAGCTCATGTCACCCAAGCAAAGGCGCGCCTGAAATCATCCCTCCTGCTCGGCAGGACGCTAGGTTTCGTGACGGGTTTCTGCAGGTTTCTGTCCCTTCGTGTCTCGTTCCCGTCGTGGTTTTGGCTAGGTGAGAAAAGGGCCGGGAAGAAGCGGCGTTCATCGTTTTCACAGGATCAGGTTTTTCGCCTTTGCTTTTCAGGGACCAGAGAGACGTTTTGGAGGGGGGCTGCAAGCTCCCTGTTTGAAACCTGGCAGTGAAACTGAGATCTAATCCTGATTAAAGCTGGTAGCTGAACGAGCGCAACGAGGTACGCAGCAATTACCCGCAGCGATTACCCGCACCCGCACGCTGGTTTTTGCCAGAGCACAAGAGAGCAAGGAGCTTTTTAAGCAAAGGAGGGTGGAAAAAAAGGTACTTTGAAAGCATAATGAAGCCTAATGAAATGGCTCTGCCACACCAGACTGACACTAGCGACAAACACATGGATTTCCTAGACAGAAAACAAACTCTGCGGTGTAGGTGGCGTGTTCTTTATGTGTGGATAAAGAAAAAACGGAGGATTTAATTTAAACGGGTTCATACAAGGCAACCGCCCTGCTCGGGTGCAGCAGGGTTTGTAACTCTGCTCTCGGGAGCGGGGTGGACGGGCGGGCCCAGCCGCTCCGTGCCCGGCTGCAGCGGGGACGGGCGCTGGGGAGGACGGCGGGGACCGGCTGCCCCGGCTCGCGTCCCCCGGGAAGGGCGCGCAGGGGTTTATTAATTACATCCCCTTGGTTGGGAAAGCAGAGGGGGACTAAGAGCACTGAGGTAGCGGTGTGTCCCTCCGACGCCCCCCGCCTCTGAAAGCCCCCCCATCCCCGGAGAGGGCCATGGGCAGGGGCGGCAGAGCAGCCCAGAGGAGCTGGGCTCTCGCCCCTTCCCCGCTCGGGTCCCCGGATCCGCGTGTCTCCCCGGCGGGGGAGGGAGCCGCAGCGGGGATTTGGCGGCCGGAGCCGAGCTCCATTCATTGCCCACGGGGGAGGAGGGGGTGCTCTGGACGTCTAGACAAGGCTCATTTCCTTATCGGAGGCGGAGCGAGGGGAAAACTGAGAAAATAAAGATTCTCGTGGGATTGAGCGAAAGCTTGCACTGAGCAAACAAGAGCCATCCCGTGTGGACGGACCCCGTTTAAAATAAAATAAAACGAAGCACCCGCTTTCTTTCCACCCTGGTACTTGATCTCCAAGGTACGAGCAGGGACTCGCACGTCCCCCAGGCCGGACCCTCTCCCAGGGGAGGAACCCCCTGCCCGGA